TAAAAAGTCATAAAAACGACATAGTACAGTAAGGCATAAAAAGTCATAAAAACGTCATAGTATAGTAAGGCATAAAAAGTCATAAAAACGACATAGTATAGTAAGGCATAAAAAGTCATAAAAACGATATAGTATAGTAAGGCATCAAAAGACAAAAATACGTCATAGTATAGTAAGGCATCAAAAGACAAAAATACGTCATAGTATAGTAAGGCACAAAAAGTCATAAAATGTAAAAGTGTAGTAAAGCATCAAAAGACAAAAATACGTCATAGTATAGTAAGGCATAAAAAGTCATAAAAACGACATAGTATAGTAAGGCATGAAAAGTCATAAAAATGTAATAGTATAAGAAGACATAAAAACGACATAGTATAGTAAGGCATAAAAAGTCATAAAAACGACATAGTATAGTAAGGCATAAAGTGTCATAAAAATGTAATAGTATAAGAAGACATAAAAACGACATAGTATAGTAAGGCATGATAAGTCATAAAATGTAATAGTGTAGTAAAGCATCAATAGACAAAAATACGTCATAGTATAGTAAGGTATAAAAAGTCATGAAGATGTAATAGTACAGGAAGATATAAGAACATCATAATATAGAAAGGCATAAAAAGTAGGAAAAACATCATAGTACAGTAAGGCATAAATAGTCGTAAGAACGTCATAGTACAGTAAGGCATGACAAGTCATAAAATGTAACAGTGTAGTAAAGCATCAAAAGACAAAAATACGACATAGTATAGTAAGGCATAAAAAGTCATAAAACGACATAGTATAGTAAGGCATGACAAGTCATAAAATCTAACAGTGTAGTAAAGCATCAAAAGACAAAAATACGACATAGTATAGTAAGGCATAAAAAGTCATAAAAACGACATAGTATAGTAAGGCATGAAAAGTTATAGCATTGTAAGATATAAAGTGTAATAAAAATGTAATAGTATAGTAAGGACTGAAAAGTCATAAAAAGTCATAGTATAGTGAGTCAAACGGTCATAGCATAGTATGGCATAAAGTGTCATAAAAATGTATAAAGTATATATAGTAAATAAAGTAAAAATAGTGTAAATAAAGAATAGGAAGGCATGAAAAGTGATTTAAATGTCATACTATAGTAAGGCATAAAAAGTCATAAGTAAGGTATAAGAAGTCATGAAAACGTCACAGTATAGTAGTGCATAAAGTATCAAAAATGTAATAGTATTGGAAGACATAAAAATGTAATAGTATAGTAAGGCATAAAAAGAAAAAAAATACATCATAGTATAGTAAGGCACTAAAAAGTCAGAACAACAGCTTAGTATATGTCATAAAAAGGATTAAAAATGTCATAGTACAGTAAGCCATAAAAAGTAATAGCATAGTAAGACATAAACTGTAATAAAAATGTATAAAGTATATATAGTAAATAAAGTAAAAATAGTGTAAATAAAGTATAGTAAGGCTTAAAACACCAAAAAAAGTCAAAGTATAATAGGACATTAAAAGTCACAGTATAGTACTACATAAAGTTTCATGAAAATGTAATAGTATAGCAAGGCATAAAAAGTCAGAAAAATGTCATATTAGTAGGGTATAAAAACGTCGTAGTATAGTGAGGCATAAAAATGTAATATTATGGTAAGGCATGACAACGACATCGTATAGAAGGGCATAAAAAGTTATAAAGATGACATAGTATAGTAAGCCATAAAAAGATCATGATTTAGTAAGAAATAAATTGTTACAGTATTGTAAGGCATAAAAAGTCAGAGTATGGTTAGTCATAACCACAACAATGTATAGTAAGTTATAAAAGTCATAGTATAGTCAAGCATAAAAAACTTCATAGTATGGTTAGGCAACAAAAAGTCAAATGTAATAATGCAAAAAAACATCATAGTATAGTAAGACATAAAAAGTGACATAGTATGGTAAGACAGAAAAAAAACTTTATAATATAGTAAAGCATAAAAAATGTCATAAAAAGTCATTGTATGGTAAGGCATAAAAACATCACAGTATGGTAAGGCATAAGAAATGTCATAAAAAAAGTCATAGTATAGAGACTGCAGCTGAAGTCAGCAAGTAGAAATTCAGTGATGACATTCAAGTTTTTTGTAAATGTTTTATTGCAGAATGAGCAGATTTATACGGAAAAGGCACCATGAAAACTATACACATACAAATGCTTTTTCTGTGTGATTGGCTTCTAGAACTGTTTGGGTACGAGGACAGTTCACTAAATACAGTAACTTTTACTCTGCTCTCATTAACAACAGCGATTAAACATTAACTGTCAACAACTCAGCGTTAATCATCAGTATTATTAATTACAGTGTTGTGCTACAGTTCAGACAAAAACCTTCATAAATTTTTTTCCACAAGTTACACTCAACCAGTAAAACTTAAGTGCATTAAGTGGAAAACAGAATCAATACAATCAATGCCACAGTGAGTAGAGAACGTACAGGCTGATTTTTGTACATCTTGTCTTATATAAGCATATACATACATATTTAATATATAACAGTTTCTGTGTGTTTCAGGCTGCTCGGTACAAACTGATCAAAAACAGTCATGGTGTTATTGGCTTGTGTTGGTGGATGAACAGCTTCTGGTCACTGATTTTTACAGATGAGAGTTCACTGTAAATCCTCAAATAAGAGCCGACAGTCAGATAATGGAAGAGTGTGAGTTCATGACCAGCATGAACCAATCAGGTAAAAAATGTTGCTTTTTTTCAGTCACTTCTAAGTTTGCCATTTTTTTTTTATCACTGTTTCTGTCACTTTCTGCAGATTTTTCACATTAAAAGCCTCCCAGGAAGGAAAGGGATTATCCCCTTTGAGCCCCTGGAGGACTTTTAATGTGAAACATCTGGGGAGGAAATCTTGAATGCAAATCAAGAGTGAACAAAAAATCAACAAAGTAGAACTCACAGAAAAGGATCTGAATAAAAACAGTAGTGTTGAAGTGTTGAAGCAGAGTGGAGAGTGACAAGCCTGTTCTGATGTGGACGTTCTATGAATTTATCAAGGGAACAGGTGAGAGATGAGTTTGCATTTCATGGGCAACAGGGAAAATAAAAACAAAGGCTTTGTTCAAAATTTGAGAATTTACAGGAACAATCATCCTTTTAAAATTTTTTCCCGTTATTCAATCTAAGTGAGAACAGCACCAGTGTATTATATTCACTTATTAATGTTGTTGTCTCTCCATAGTGAGGCTGCAGCTGACAATTAGTTTCATTTTCATTGATTCATTTGTATCTAATTTTGTTTTTGTGAAATCTGAATTTTTCAGCATTTTTCTGAAATGATAAATTGACTTTCAGATTATTTCTGAAAACCTTTAGTATTTTTCTGAAATGAAAACTAAAGTTTGTAGCATTGACGAGTCTAAAAGTTTGTCTACACTGGGTCAAAAATCTGAATTCAGAAAATGTATGTGAAAGTTTCTCAAGAGAACAATGTGCTGTGTAACGTTAACGTAGCATTAATTTAATTCATTTTATCCACTAAACTGCTGCATGTTTTTTAAGGTGAGTTCAAATTCAGTCGACATTAACTGACCTGAAGTAACCTCAGTCAGCCTGTGACTTCATATTATAAACAACAGTCACTCTGCATCATCATCCACCTGGTGACATGACGATGTCAGATGACTGACGGGACAAACACGAGGCTACGTGTTGCTGTGGGCGGGGCCTGAAGTAAACACATTCATCATGTTTAAAGTGGGAGCATCGCTGAGTCAGCAGACATTCATGTCAGTGTTTGGATGACCTTTGACCTCTTCAGCTTACAGCCTTTAGAAAACACTAAACTGATTCTGAATCACTTGATTCTCCTCCTGAAGAGAAGCTTCTACATTTTATTATTGTGCAAAAATGTCGTTACTGATTCTTTCTGATCGATTCACTAAATCTAAACCACATGATGCTCATACGTTACAAATTAATATAAAGTTCTTGTGCATTTCAACAAAAGAAATTTCACTTGATCAGTTCTATCATTAATGAAGTTATTGAACATTTTCATATAAACATGATTATATTCTATGAATGTCATAATTCTCTTGGCCCAAACAATCTGAAATGTACAGTTATATTTATCATATTCTACTAATGAAACTCCTAGAGCAATATATTCAAGCCAATATCATTAACTACAGCTCAGTTTGTGCCTCAGTGTTTCATCACATTCAAGTCACAGAGAGAAACATCTGCTTTTCTCAAGATGAATAAACACAAACGTTTTACACAGAAAAACCTCGTTCGTACAGAAACTAATTACCTGGTGACAAGAAACACTTTCCATAATATCTTGTGCACGAGTGAGAGATACAGTATCTTGTGTGTACAAAATATTATCTTATTTTCTCTATATATATTTTACATACATTTTGATATCACTTAGAGAATTTATGCTACTTAAATCATTTACTTTTATCAAGTTATCTCCTAAATATTATGTATGATAACACAACATTAAAGCTCCTCCAGTGTAAAGGTCTGTGTCCATGTGTAGTGTGATTATAGATCAGCTCTAGCTTCTATATTAATACTGTGAAAGTATCAAAGCCTCAGTCCACAGAGAAATGCACACAGCCTGTATTCAGAAACTGAGCCTTAAAACCAGCCGTCAGGACTTCTGGAACTTTGTGATGTCACAACAAAGCAGCCACCAAGCCCCGCCCACCTGGACCCACCATCCAAACCTTGCAGGATTTGGTTTCTCTGAGTGTTTTTACCTGAAATCTGCTATATTTTTATTGGATCACTCAGAAAACAGTCAGCCAATCAGAAGAGAGGCTCAGAGCCTCCTCTCTTCTGATTGGCTCACCGACCTGTTGTTACTAGAGCTCCAGAGAGAAGCCTGAGAGAGGAGATGTAAAACTACACTGAGATGGTTTTTATATCTTCTGATGGATCAACACTTCAAATAAAACACAGAAGAAGAAACATGGAGCTTCAAAGTTTTGATTCACGTCATAGAGATGAAGATGCGTCACTTTTGGCTCTTTGCAACATCAGAAATGAGTTAAAATCTTTTTTATTGTGCATCAGAGTTTTCTTTGTGAAGCAGCAGTGTTTGTAGATCAGGGTTCAGTCTGTTTGAACTGTGACTCCACTGTCACGACACATGAGGCACAAACTGCAGCTGACGACCTACAGAGCGTCTCCTGACGTTAATACTGAGAGGCTTCGCTTTGGAAAATGAGCTACTGAGCAGCTTTTCTTCACTTTTTACAAACACCAACAAAAGTCCAACATCCAGAGTCCCAAAAGAGTTCAGGTGAACTTCAGGCAAACATGGCGGGATGTTCTCTCTGAACATATCGGACGTCCTGTCCTCGGTCCTGTTTTTATTCTCTACGGAGACGAGCTGAGGAGTTCCTGTCTGCGCCGCATGATCTCCACAAACTCAGCGTGGTCAGCCGCCGCCTGAGGATCAAGAGTGCGAGAAAACAGCAGGCTGCAGTTTGAAAAAATAAAGCAAAGGAGGAAGGAAGGAAGGAAGGAAGGAAGGAAGGAAGGAAGGAAGGAAGGAAGGAAGGAAGGAAGGAGGAAGTCATGAGGAGCTCAGTGGGTGCTGCCTTCATCAAAAGACTCCACCCCTGAATCACAGGTGGTGGCTGCCAGTTTCTCCTGTCGCCTCCTCATGATCTCCTGGAGCTCAGAGCCTGAACTCCTCTGGAGACACAGAGAGAAGGAGGAGAGGAAGAGGAGGAAGAGGAGGAAGAGGAGGAAGAGGAGGAAGAGGAGGGAGTGTTGAAGAGGAGAGAGCAGAAACACAAAGAGAGGGAAACAAACAGCTGGTTAGAAAATGTGAATACAAACATGTTGTTGACACTGATCTGGGGAGACTCTCGTGGAACCTTCATCACTGATCATTACTAATCATCACTGATCGTCATTGATCATTACTGATCGTCACTGATCGTCACTGATCATTACTGATCGTCACTGATCATTATTGCTTCATGTTTCTACCTGCAAGAAGTTCTGATCAAATATTCAACTGTGTTTATTTTGGCGGGTAAGGATCTACTTCCTCTCTGAACACTTATATATTCATGCTGTCATTAGTTTCATTTATTGATCAGCAGGTTGTTCACTGATCAGAAGGTTGCTGGTTCGATTTCTGGCTCCTCCAATCTAAGTGTCTTTGGGCAAGATACTAAACCACAGACCGCCATCGTAAAGCTCTTGGAGTCTGTAGTGTTCAGTTTGCACCAATATGATCCTAACAAAGCATCTCCCCTGTGATTGGCTCAGCCGTTTAATGAGACCAGTGATTTGATTGGCTGAAAGTGAATTAATGAATCAACACCAGCTCTATATTCTCGTTCACCTTTGCAGTGCTGCACCTACAGAACCAGGCCAGCAGGTGGCACCTTCATCCACTACAGTGTGATGTCATATATTCTGGGGGTGGGGTGGGGGGTGGGGGGTTGTGTCTGAGGTTCACAGGTTAGAGCTGATTTGACCGTCCCTCGAGAGTCTCCCCTCGACCTCTCGCTGCCTCTGAAGCGACTGAGTGTCTACGGAGCTTTTCTGCCGTCACTTTTTAAAACCTGAAGATTTTATCAGAGAAAATCTTCTGGCTCCGGCTGCGGTCACATGGGTTCTTCTCTCACATGAACGCCATGTCAACTCAGCCAGGCCTGAACCAACCTCAGGAAGCCTCTGGTGACTGCTGCTGCTGCTGCTGCTGCTGCTGCTGCGAAGAGCACGAGGATGAAGACGTCTACAGTGACAGTCAGGAGGCATGCTGGGTAATAGACTGTCTAACACTGGTCACACAAAGATCAGTTCAGACTGGAGTTTAGCTAGTCCCAGTCCCAGTCTCAGTCTGGTCTAAACAACTTTAAATAAACAAATAAACCAGATCAGGATGCTAAAATAAATACAGAGATAAATCATTAAATGCATAATTGAATGAATAATTAATAATAATTAATGACATACAATATAAAGTCGAAATGTAGAAATATTTATTTCCTGATAATGTCATTTATTCATTTAGTTAAGTTAAGTTTAGTAGTTTTTATTGGTGTTTCTATTAATGAAAATATTAATTTCTGTTCTTTGTTTTTTTAGTTTGAAGTCATCGTCTTTGTGCGACCAGCAGCAGGTGAAAAGGTGGTTGAAGCTCTTCAGGTGAAATCCTGTCAGAACTTATATTAGAGGGAATTTTTGTACAACCTGGTTTTGTTCTTTCATCGTGGAGTAAAAAAATAAAAGTTAAGTATTTTCATAACTTTCATAACGACTAAATAACACCTGGTTGTAAAAAAACAAAATCTTTGAACCTACATTTTACTGTTAATCAGTAAATGGATGCAGCCGCTTGGAACAACTCATACAGTTAGCCTAGCTTAGCTTAGCTTAGAGTAGCAGTCAGCTAACACGCACAGAACTCATTCCAGCCAATAGAAGATCTACATCCTGGTCTCTACAGGGTCAAAGGGCGCACAGGTGGGGTCAGAGGTCAACAGGAAGTGGAGCATTCTGGAGCTGGTTCATTCAGGGAGTTTAAGGAGGACTTACTGGACTGAACAGCCACAGCAGGAAGACAAATACTGGCGCTACCTTAAAATGCTGCTGAACATGAAACGACTGGAGCCTCGTTCTGACGGCCAGATTCAGAAAATATAACATCATTTTAAAAGTAAGTCCCAAGTCAAGATCAACAAAGTCAATACAGGAAAGTCCTACGTCAAAGAGACTTGCTGGTCCCCAAGTCAAGTCACAAGTCAAGACAAGTAAGTCCCAACTAAGTGCAAAAAAGTCAGTGTACCTGTTGGTCCCAAAGTCAAGAGACACAAGTCAAGACCAACAAGTCCCAACACCCCAGTCAAGTCAGGAAAGTCCCAAATCAAAGGCAACAAGTCCAAGTCAAGTCTGAATCAAGACTGACGAGTCCTAAGAGAAGCAACGTGATTGGCTACTGTCTGATTGATTGATGTTTGTCTGTGGTCATGAAAAGTGGAGGGTGTTCAAGTGAAGTCATGAGTCAATAGTGTTACAGTCGGGTTCAACGTCTTTTTTGCTTTTGTAAAGTTCAGTCTGAAGTGATCGGATTCAGATTCAGATTCAAGTTCAAGTCATGTGACTGGAGTCCACATCCCCGTACTGAGGGACTGAGGGAGCGCAGGACTTAAATCTGGCCAACAGAACGAAGCCACCCGTCTGTCTGAGATCACGATACCTTAATGAATGTGTGAACAGAATCAGAAGATCAAAGGAGGGTCAGAAGAAAACCTGCAGGTGGAAATAGACACCACACACCAGACCTTGCCAGAGTTGGGGGATAGAAAGCTTTAAGACAGAGAAGACCCTGAACAGACCGACAGCTCCCAGACACAAACATGCTGCAGCACATTAAACTACTGTAGGTCTCAGGAACAGAGCCCGGGGTCAGAGGTCAAAATAGACATTTACTTAAGTTTTTTCACCCCCTCAGACTGATCATGTGATCAGATATAGCTACAGCTTGTCAAACACAGTTTTTTAAAAGGGATATTTATAGTTAAAGTTAACATTTGACTTAATCACACTTCTGTCAATTATTTAATGAAATGATCACAAAGATAATCTATATTGTAAAATTATATTGGTCCAGACACGTCTTCTACCTCGGTCTGGAGTTTAGTTCATTCATTTCAGTGTTTTGACAGGAGTGAAACAAACTCCAAAATTCTTATATCATTATTAATTATTTTATTATTATTATTTATACAAGTCGACAAAGCTCTGATCAGTCGGATCTTTGACCACACCTGCATGTGATGTGATATAAGCTAGTAAAAGAGCTTTTTCTTGCTGTGGTTAAAAATCCTGTTTGCTGCTGCTCATGTTTGTCTGATGAAACAATCAGCTGGAAGCTCTCTGATCTGCAGAGACTCGTAGCCTCACATAAAACCCACAACATCATCCAACATCATCCGACATCATCCGACATCATCCGACATCATCCGACATCATCCAACACCATCCAACATCATCCAACATCATCCAACATCATCCAACATCATCCAACACCATCCAACACCATCCAACACCATCCAACATCATCCAACATCATCCAACAACCACAGAGAAAGCAGAGACTCAAACTCTAGATTTAAGTTTTAAGAAGTTGTCTGTGTCGATGGCGTCATGTCTGAGCGGTGACACCCACCTCCAGCGCCGCCTTCTGCACCGTGACTTGACTGTAGACTCGAGCTCCGTCGTCAGGACAGACCGTCTTCAGCTCCTCTTTGTTGAGAGAAAACAGCTGAGCTCCGGTCAGGACGCCGAGGCTGGTGATGGTGCTGCACACAGGAAACACAAGATGGTGAACACACACCTGGACAAGTGTCAGGGCTCCAAATCAAAACTTGAACTCTTTAGTGACCTGCGGGAGTCATGTCTGATACTCTACTGTCACTAGATGGTAAATGGTAGATTTTAAAGAGAATGAAACTGCTCAAGTAGAGCTCCGAGTTAAAACTATGATAAAGGATCCAAATTTAATGTTTCACAAACATAAACATAAAATGATAAAAACTTTAATTCTATTAAATTCTCTTAAATTCTTCTGTCTTAATGTTTCACATTGTAACTATGAAATCCTTGACTGTGAAGAACGTGTGTGAGTTGAAAGCAGCAGAAGCAGCGAACAGAGACTCACACGGGGCTGAAGCCTTTGGCCTCTAACCAGGCTCTGACATCATCAGGTGACGAGTCGTAGGTGATGTTGACGGACGGGAGGCTGCTGCTGTTGCTGCGAGAGGGAACCTGAAACTTCTTCTGAGCGCTGCGGCCCAGAGTCAGTCTGTGCATCAGCTCGTCCTGGACCTCCTCCATGTTGGATTTCCTGCCTGCACAGAGGATGAGGAGAACTGGTATAAATCCTTCTCACCCATTATAAAAACTAAGACTTTATATAAATGAGAAATAATTGAATCGATAAAGTTTTTCGACTCACGGTTGAAGGGTGCAGGTCTCTGGTTGTTGTGCTCCCTCATGGCGACACTGCCGTTGTCGCTGGACGTGGTGCTGTTCTGGCGGCTGACCGTGCTGCTGCTGCTGGTGGCGGTGGCGGGCGGTTTGGTGGGCTCAGCGGCCGGAGGAGGCAGCGGTGGCGTGGGGAGCCTGGCGGGGGCTGGAGGGGGCGGCGTGGGGGCCGGAGGCATCGGAGTCACCACAGGTTTACTGGGGATGAAGTCGGTCCTCGTGGTCTGCTTCTGACAGGGACAGGTTTTCATTTACAGTGAAGGAGACGGATGCAGCTACTTCCTGTTAGAGACTCTGAACTGAACCTTACACATGTTGTTGTTTTTGTTTACCTCGTTCAACTCTCCCAGTAATTGCTGCCGACGTTAAAAAACAAACATGGTGGTGATGAGACCATGAAACAAATGTTTTATTCACATCACGACAAACTCACTACAAACGTACTGTGATGTCATCGTCTACACCGTTTGAAATGGGTTCAGGATCTACATCATCAAACTCCACACACTGATCACACCCTAGAGAAACACTTAAAGGAACAGTCCTTTAAATTATTCCTGTGTCTCACTATGAACCAGCTTTAAATTATTATTTTCTCCAAAATATGGTTGTTCCTTTAAGATCACAGCAAAGAAAACACTGCAGACTAAAAATACTGCAGACTAAAAACACTGTAGACTAAAACACTGCAGACTAAAAACACTGCAGACTAAAAACATTGCAGACTAAAAACACTGCAGAGTGCAGACTAGAACACTGTAGACTAAAACAACTGTAGACTAAAAACACTGGAGACTAAAAACACTGCAGAGTGTAGACTAAAAACACTGGAGACTAAAAACACTGCAGACTAGAAACACTGCAGACTAGAAACACTCCCTGTCCTACCTTAAACAACTCAAACTCCTTCTTTGGCATCATGAGCTTTAATCATCAGAAACAAAACCACATGAACACAGATGAGATTTAATGGAAACTGAAACGACATTAAATAAACAACAAACTCCTGGTGAGCTGCAGCCACAGTTAGCATTAGCATTAGCATGATCTGCTGCCTCCTACCTGGATGGTGTGGCTGTAGATGGGCTCTCCACGGCCAGTGATGTCCACAGCTTTGGTTATCTCCAGGATGTTGTTTGGCACGTAGCCGGACGCCCCACAGCCGTTACGAACCTTCCACCACTGCTTCCTGTCGTCCAGAACCTGACAGACAAGAGTCAGGGACGATTAGACAGTCAACTGAGGCTCAGTTTGAACTCGAGTTTAGAACTGAATTTACATTTCATCAGTTGCTGCAGAGGGTTTGAGTTAGCAATGTGTTTGCAGCATTTATCTCCTGGTTTATACATAAAATATTAGAAAATACAAAATAAAATATGCACATTATTAAATCTGAAGTATGAAAGAAACAAACAGCTCGTTTACCTCAACGACCTCGTCTTTGAGAACCGACAGCTCCGTGTTGTTTCTTGCCACAAAGTCGTATTTTGATTTGGCAAACTGTTTCATTTGGCCTCTGCTGTCACCATCAAAACTTCTGAAACATGTATATATACATATATGACTATATCACAGCTCTACTGATTAAGAGCACAAATAATATATAATAAATCAAATCCACAAAATCATCAACAATTTATCAACAACACTCCGAATTACTTCATTTAAACCACAAATAACTAATTTCAGATTCACAATGTACTAAATCTGCACATTCCTCCATGACACCATCCACTGACTCTGTTTATTTACAAAAACAAAAAAATAACTTCCACAAATAGATATATACAAACAAAACATACAGTAAACACATTTTATGATAAGTTCCAATTATTAAATAAAGACCAAAATAACTGAGACATTAACTGATATTTGGTATTATTAATATTCCAGCCGTGGAGAAGAGTCCCATCTTTATATCAGATAGAGAAACTGGAAAATGAAGATGTGATTCAGATCTCAAAGATTCAGAGGAATTTAATTTCATGAGAGAATCAGACTCAGTTTGTATCTTTTTTTTTCAGCTGTTCACTGAACAGAAAAATTACCAGAGAAAAACAGATGAAAGAGATTATAACAAATAATAAAGATAATAAAAAGAAAAATTACAGAGTTGTTCAGTTCAAAGGAAGATTTTTATAGATTAAGAAAATGTCTGATTGAGGTGAATAATGTGAATAAATACTGAAATAAAGTATATACCGAAATGTATTTTATTAAACATATCTGCTTTATTATTATTATTCTTGTTTTCATAGTTTTTATCTGTTTCATCTGTTATTGTTTTAACTATATGAGAGAGTTTACAGACTTAAAATGTTTCAATCCTGGTTCAACTGTTGAAGGTGCAGAAAAGGTCAATATTATTATTATCATTATTATTACTATGTATAATTAAATGTTATTTATGTTCTACAGTATTTGAGACGTAAATAAATGAAAAAAAATGTATAAATACAGAAATAAGTTAAAGTAGAAATGAAAAATAAATAGAAAATAAATA